TGTGTGTGTGTGTGTGTGTGTCTCTCTCTCTCTCTCTCTCTCTCTCTCTCTCTCTCTCTGTGTGTGTGTGTGTGTGTCTCTCTCTCTCTCTCTCTCTCTCTTACCCTTTGCTATGTCATTCAGCTTGCTTCCGTCCCCATGGTTGGCCAATGGAGAGAATTACTCTCACACCCTCACACAGGGGCTTGGGAGAATTTACTCTCATACCCTCACACAAAGGGTTGGGAGCATTAGTCTTATACCCTCATAGCCGATCCCGATCCCAATAGGCCGGAGATGATCCCATGCTCAAGGCGATGCGCACGTGTGCGCTGGAGAAGGGGGAATCGGGATTGGGGCCCAGTACAGAGATGATCCCCATGCTATTCTTTCCTAGTTTAGCATGTAATTGAGCGACGCTATTCTATTCTTTCCTAGTTTACCATGTAATTGAGCGACGCTATTCTATTCTTTCCTAGTTTAGCATGTAATTTGTCTCTTATACACATCTAGATGTGTATAAGAGACAGGTACAGAGATGATCCCCATGCTATTCTTTCCTAGTTTAGCATGTAATTGAGCGACGCTATTCTATTCTTTCCTAGTTTACCATGTAATTGAGCGACGCTATTCTATTCTTTCCTAGTTTAGCATGTAATTGAGCGACGCTATTCTACTCTTTCCTAGTTTAGCATGTAATTGAGCGACGCTACTCTATTCTTTCCTGATTTAGCATGTCATAATTCTATACTATAAGAATTAGGCAAGCTGTCGAGCGGAGGCCATGTTCAAGTTCACCGTAGATAAGCACCAAACCCTTTCCTTTTTTTTTTTTTCTTTTTTTTTTTTTTTTTTTTTTTTTTTTTTTTTTTTTTCTAACTACACTATTCTTCTCTCAGAGTATACTCACACTAACGCCCTCAAAATCACAAAACGACAAAATGAACGGCCATTCTGGCCGCTCATTTTGCGATTTTGTGATTTTGAGGGCCTAGTGTGAGTGCCCTGAAATTACTTTTGCCTTTCAGTACCTATATACCTACCTACCACTACTCCTAAGACTATATATAGAGGGGAGCACTGCAAGCAGAGCTACCTAACACTGAAGGGATTGCATGTTAAATACTCTTTTTTTACCTTTTCTTGTTCTTCTTTTTCTTTGTTGGGACCGCCAGATATTCAGTACGCTACATATGTCCTGGGGCGTGGTCCCATTGTCTACCGGGTAGGAGCCGGGAACGCAACCCTAACATAGCCAAAGCAATGAGACTAAGAGCGCACACAAGAGAGAGAGACAGAGAGAGAGAGAGAGAGAGAGAGAGAGAGAAGAGAGAGAGAGTGAATGGCCAAATTGAAATATGGGTCAAATTGCGGCCGCTATCTATTTCGCGGTTGGAATGACTTTTTTTTTTAATTGAGCGTTTTTCTTGGAAAGATCACAACAAAATCTACGAGTACTCCAATTGTCAGTTTTTTTCACGCATTCTTCTGAGTGCGAAAACTCAGTAAATTTGGAGTACTTCTCCAGTTGGCCTACACATACTAAGTGGCACCATGCCCTCATCTATGGATTCTCAAAATTTCAGACTTTTCTGTGGGTTCCTCCGAGCACAGAAAATCGTCAAAAATGTCTTTTGCAAAACGTCTGTTTTGTCGTGGCTGACCTCCCTGTTTTGAGAAAATGGGCCTCAACACCTGGGCCTGATGGCCCTTTTGCAGTTCACATGCCCTCACTTCTTTTTGGGGTCCGCTTCCACCCAAGGACCGGTCCTTCCTTTTTCCAAAAGTCCCAGTTTTACAAGAGCTAGTTGTAGGTAGTCCGCAATTTTGCCAAGGACCGGTCCCCCAAATTGTTTTGCCCCCTAAGAACCCACTTTGCGTCCTGGTCACCCGCCGCAAAAAATGTGACACCTTGACACAGATGCCAAAGCCTACTATATCATTTTGTCTACCGCGTGGGCGCGGGGAACGCAGCCCTAAGGTAGCCAAATCAATGAGACTAAGAGCTAACACGAGAGAGAGAGAGAGAGACACCTGTCTCTTATACACATCTAGATGTGTATAAGAGACAGCTCACTCTCTCTCTCTCTCTCTCTCTCTCTCACACACACACACACACACACACAGAGTAGGGAAGGTCAGGCGGCAGATGGAGGCAAGAGGCTGCGAGTTACGGGTTACTTGGAGAGTAGGAGAGGGTAGGTGGATGCGTTGTCATGGTATAACAGCTACACAAGAGAGCCAGACGCGTATACATCTGATATTAGGCACATTAGAGTGAATGGATCGCCATTCCGGCTCCTTCTTCCGCGCCATCTCTCTCTCTCTCTCTCTCTCTCTCTCTCTCTCTCTCTCTCTCTCTCTC